ACCAAATTTTTGAGTGTAATACCAAGTTCCTAACATGCCTCCCACTTGTTGTTACCACACATTTAAAAAGCAGAACCAATAGCATGGAGACTCTTGATCTTTCAGGTGTGGCAATACATTACCTTGATGCGGCGGATTTTTCTCATCGACTGCCCGGGTGTAGTTTATCCGTCTGGAGACACAGAAACCGACATTGTGCTAAAGGGAGTGGTATGTATATGCTCTAAATGCTGGGAAGTCTTGATGGTTGTCAGTAGGTTGGGTTCAGAGACACTAATGTGCACTACTACCTTCACAAGTAACAACTTTGGCATTATTATTTATTGTAGAGTTTAGAAAGGGTTACTTACTAGAGCAGAAATTTACTTAGTGTATCTCTCCAAGAACCTGAGCAGTCTGTACAATTGTTCCTTTTTACGCAGAGGGAACATTTAATTCATTGTTAAGCTAAATTAGGTTCAAGTATAAAGGAGAATGGTAGCACCTGAGCCTTAGGTCATCGCCCTGAAAGGCTTTCTGGTGCAGAAACTCTCCCACATTTGTGTTTAAATAGAAAAAAAAAAATCTTCTTCCCAGGTTTAAGTTATCTGAAAGAAGGGCGGGAGTGATGAAAGAATAGGAACTGAACTTCTGTCACAGATGGCTTGCTTAAAGCACTTGAGGTTTTTGAACAAAGACCCAAGCTCATGTTCCAAAGGGCTGACTTTCTGCCATTGTTTTTTAGGTTCAAGTTGAAAAGATTAAGAGCCCTGAAGATCATATTAGTGCAGTGTTGGAAAGAGCGAAACCAGAGTACATCAGAAAGACATACAAAATTGACTTCTGGAAGGATACAGAAGATTTCCTTGAGAAGCTTGCTTTGAGGACTGGAAAACTGCTAAAGGTGAGACAACTTTCTTCATCTGCAGGTTGGAAGAATATGTAGGCCATGTTCCAGCACTGAAACCATGCTCAATGACATGGCTACAAGGAATACAAAGTTGATTTGTTTACTCCTAAAAAGGGGAACAGAAATTATCACTGGATTCTTCCAGGGTGGTGAGCCTGATGTGCAAACTGTGAGCAAGATGGTTCTCAATGACTGGCAGAGGGGCAGAATTCCATTCTTTGTGAAGCCTCCCAACGCAGAAACAGGTCCCCAGGTGAGAACTGATTTAATACTCTATCCTTGTTCTTGCAAATCTTAAAGGAGTTTGTCATTCTCTTGCATATTATTTGCTTTCCCTAGTAGTATTCACTCTTGTAACTTGGGCAGTGCATATCTCAGGCTCTGCTTTCATCTGCCGATTCGGGGGGCACTCACATGAATTTCATAAATACATAGACAGGACTGGCTAGCTGTGTTCTGTTTTACACTGAGCCATCTTACAGTCATCTTACTAGCAGAAATGTCAGTAATTATCACAGCCTTCAGTATGCTTTTTTCCAGAGAGATAAAATCAAAATTGCTCCCATGAGGCTCTGTTGCTAGAGAATACTCTGTTTTGCAATAATGTCAGACCCAATTTTGCTATTGCCTTTCATTAGATACATATTGCCTGATGTGCTGTGCAGCAACCAAATGGGAATAACTTTTATGATTAATCCAGAATCATTAGAGCTTCTTGATTTGTTTCTAACGCTTCAGGCGGAGGGGGAGTCCATTTTTTTAAATTGCTCGCTCTTTTTTTTTTTTTTTTTTTTTTTTTTTTTTTTTTTTTTATCGTTGGCTCTCTTTCAGGGATTGTTTTTATGTGCAGTCATACCCATATCCCTCTGACCCCTAAAGTAATTTTTGGAATTATTTATAATGCTTTCAGACCTATGCCTTCTTTCCCCAACAAGAAATGAAATGGAAACAGCTAGGATTCTTCATTCGAAGGCACTACTTGCTTAACGATCAACCTTCTGCCCTTTCTTCTTTCCATTCCTGGAGGCCATAAAAAAAAAAAAATACAGCAGATCCAAGATACATGAGATGCAAAGTGAATATTTCTGTAATAGAGAGATGCTGGGTCAGACTTTGCTTGTGGATAACATATCCTTGACACTCTTTCTTGTAGCCTCCTATGTCAGGAGAAGCAATGGCAACAAGCCAGGATAACAAGGAGGAGGAAATTTCTGAGCTGGTAGCATCAAATACGGAGCCAGCAGAAGAGAAAAACAATACAGACAGTGAAATGAAGCAACTTATGTCACACGTCCGGCAGAACTTTGGGAGGATTAACGTGGCGCCTGAATTCTCAGAAGAAGACCTGGTTCCTGTGGATGTGTCAGGCTTTGAAACAGACAGTGATTCTCCTGCAGAGGAGCAGGAGGAAGAGAAGGAAAATGAGCAACACCAAGACTCTGCAATAGAGGGGGAATCACAGTCAACTGTCCAAGATGCCAGGGAGAGCTCCAAGGCAGTTATTAAGGCTTTGGAGGAAAAGATTGCAAAATGCAAAAAATTCCTGGATAAAGCCAAAGCCAAGAGATTCTCAGCAATAAGGTATCTCATTCTGCTCAGTGACTCAAGTGTTCCACAGGGAAAAACAAAACAGAAAAACATTAATGTGGTTCTGCTGTACTTGCATTCTGTTCATGACTTGCTTTACTGATTCCTGTGTGTTAGATTTGCTGCCATATTTCTAGTTTAGCTGTAAATATTGCAAATCTGGCCAAGCAGCAAGGCAAAACTTCTTGCTTTTGGAAAGCTGCTGCTTAGGCTATGTATTAGAAACCTGGTGGTACGCTAGGTAGCAATAGCATTTCCTTGGATCACTTTGTGATGTTGAGTTTCTTCTTGATGAATATCAGGTCTGGTGTTCTACCAGGAAATGTCACCTGGGTCTCCACATTGTGCATGTGTATCCTAGCTGATAGACCAGGCTGAGTTTTGGCAAAGCGCTCTCCTTACAAGTCTGCACGAGTCCAGTAACCCTAGAGGCAGGATGAGTGGAGGGTGTTTCCTAAGTGCACAGCCTGGCTTTGCTGGCAGGCTGTTAGGATGGGTTAGAGGTGACTGCTGCATTTTGGACTATGACACTGTTTCATTGCTTGTTTTATCTCTTGTAGAATCCCTAAACAGCTGAGTGAAAAGGTATTTGCAAGATGTGAACAGAAGTCTGAAGAACCCAGAGAAAACGAAGACAGAGGTAAACCAAAAGACCAAGATACAGTCCACGTCACTAGAAATCCTAAGAGAAGAGAGGGAGTTGGAGAGAGTTCATTAGTTCCTGATTGAAAGCTCTTTCTCTAAAGCTACATAAATCTTTCTACTAACTTACTTAAGAACTTCCTGGTGATTTTCCAGCTGCCTTTTTGCAGAACACATGTCTGTTTAGTAAGATAATATGTTGTTCTGTCAGTGAAGGAGAGTGAAGACAAATGTTGAATTCTGAGCAAAATGATGTTACTGGCAGATTAGAATTTGAGCAACTTCCCTTCCATGTGGTGTAAAAGGGTTTTAGAATGGTATAAAAGCATAGAGAGAACTTCTGGTGATGGAGACTGTTGTGACTTCCAGGTGTCTGTAGTTTCAGTTTCCAAGTATGATTGAAGGCAAATTCAAATTCTGTCAGTATGAGAACACATAGGTTTTTTGCTAGATTTGCACAGGGCTCTAAGCAGTTTTGCTGCTGCTTTCGTAGGGAAGCCTCGAGTGATTGTCTGGTAAGGAACAAGTGTGCTGTTTTGGTAGGAGCTTTTACAAATTCACTAAAGCAGTGCAGTGCTGAGGTAGGCAGAGTGGTGACACAAGCAGTCAAGTTCTGCAAGCAGAGGGATTTTGGGAAGGTGCTGGAGTGTGTGACCTGTGTTGTTTGTAGGCTGCACAGAGAAGAAAAGAAAAAGGAAAGCAGAAGAGGAGGAGGATGAAGATGACCATTCGACTAAACAGCCCCGCAGAAAACTTACATCCAAAGAAGTAAGTGGGATCTCCTGTAGTAAAAAACAGGAGGAGTAGAGCTAGTTTCTTTTATACAGTTTAAAAGCTTCAAGACTTGAGATTCCATATAGTCATATGAATGATGCTTGGTATGAAATTGTGTCTTATTTCACTTGAAGTACCCTATGTATGCTGAATACTCATTGGAAGAATGCAAGCAAATCTTGACTATGGATGATGTGCATTTGGTTATGAGTTTTACTAATGCCTTTACTTGTTTTGTTTGTGTTGCAGAGGAGACGAGCTGAGAGGCAGCAGCGCTCCAAGAAAGTTGGAGTTCGGTATTATGAAACTCACAACGTGAAAAATAAGAACAAGAACAAGAAAAAAACTGGCTTGGAGGGCCAAAGATCAAAGCACAAGAAATACAAACATAAGTAATAACTGCTGGTTCTTCTATTAAATTTTACATAAAACAGCTCTGGTATGCAGCAACATTTTTCTTATATAAAACTTCCATTCAAAGTCTGGTTTGGTTTGTCTGTCTTGTTCCAAGGAGTGGCATCACCCCCTTGATATCTGAATCATCTGAAGTTCTTTATGCAAATAGAGATCATGGTTTTTCCACATCACCATCTAAAGTCAATATACATTGCATTGCCAAGCCACCTGAGATGCTCTTCAGGTTTGGAGGCTATTCAGAGCTTTTTTAGTTTTGTTTGTTTGTTCCCCACCTCAAAATAGCTTTTACTGAGTTGTTCCATAGAGAATCACCTTCCCAAGGGTTGTAAATATCCAGCTAATTACAGAGATTCCTCAAGGAAAGATGTCATTTGCCTCTGTTGAGAAACAGTACTTGGAGTGGCAGCATGAAGGACTTCTTGTCGAAAGCTAGGAAGAGCAATACTATGTTTTTTTATGTGCTATTAACACTAACTTGCACATACGCACAGGAAACAACATTTTCAAATAAAGAATTTTACAGAGACGTGGCGGGGAGCGGGGGGAAAGGTTTATTAGTATATTGCTTTGAGGGTCATAGAGCATATTGGCAGCAGGTAGGTCCCAGATGGCTTCACTGTTTAAGAGGCAGAATGCTGAAATGGCACTGAAAGTGAATTTGGATAGTTGGACTGTCGTCAGTTACCGGTAAGTGAAAATTCAGGGTTGTTTTAGGAAGACAGATCTTCTTCACTAATTGCAAACTTCTTGCTTTGACAGTTCTTCTGAGCATAGGCGGGGGGACAATAAGAGATCTACTTATTTGGTGCAATGATGCCTTCAAGTTGGGCCTGAAAACAAATGAAACAGTAAGTTAAATTAGCCTCAATCTAAAAAATAAAGCCACATTGTTGAAAAGGGATAAATTGTCTGTTATGTATTCAAAGCGAGGAGCTGAAGGATGCTGCAATACTTCAAGAAAAGCAGGCCAGGGTTCTTTTCCCTTGGTTATTTCATTTCTTACTACATGTTTTATAAATTAACATTTCATTGTTGGCATGCAGACTTGTTGCGTTCTGAGAAGAAGAGAGTTGGCCTTGGTTCCATACAATGAAAGACTCATTTTATAATGTAAAGCATTGAAAAGGAAATTAAATAAAAGCTGTTGAAACAGGGGTCTGTGTTCTCTGATTTCAGGCTGGACTCTGTTGGCTAAATTAAATATTTGGCTCTTTAGGATTTGGAGCACAAGCTCAGACTCTGGGACAAAAGGAACTGGAAAGAGCAAGTTTTTTCAGTTACTGAGACAACTTGACGCCCAATTAGTAGATTGATCAGGGAGCTACCCCTGCTTGCGGAGCTTTTCTGTAGGAAGCATCCAGGACTCCCAGATCGTCCTGCTTCTGCAGCAGTATAGCCCTCAAAGGAAACCACACCAGCAGTATATACACAGCTGTTAAAATATTCCTAGTTCAGGAAAGAAACTCAGCTTCAGTGGCATACAACTTTAGTCGAACATTTGCTCTATTTTATCTCCTAAAACAGTTCAAGATGGCTTGAAGTTTAATGGTTTAAAAAAGAAAAACTGTAAGAAATAGATAAGGAAGGCAGGTTACTGTAAATTTCTCGAAGAATGACTTAAAGTTGTTCCTGATTAGCTGTTTTTACTTTAATCAAATAAGCAAGCTATTTTTACTTTTTCCTAAAGCAAGGAAACTGAAGGGGTCTTGGCTGCTGAAAAAAAGAGTAGCCAACACAAAGTTATTCCCATCCTTTGCAAAGCAGTTCCAGTGATCTAGGTGTGAAAGGAGCAACTTTTCCCCAGTGTCTGGAATCAATCGTTACTAACTTTCAGCTGCTGATTTGTGCGTTTCAGGAACTGGACCTCTTCGGTGTGCTTCTTTTCCTCTGTCTGTCGCCTTTCATTTTCACGTTTTTCAATAGCTTCACATTTAGCCTTCTGTTCATTCACTTGCTTTTCCAACTCCCGCTTTTCTTCTTCTAGCTCTGCAATCTTGGAAAAAAAGAGTACAATGCTCCCAAGTTTTCTTTGTAAATAAGCAAGGATCAGACTGCATGCTGTACAGTCCTAGACATATGGCAGATTTATGGACTACAGTTAAGCCCCAGGGACTGGGACCGTCAGCAGTTTGACGATCTTTACTGCCATCCAGTGGACACTACATAAATTATATAAAATTCGGCTCTATAAAACTTTGTCGGTAGCCTCCAGAGAAAGCCCCACGCGAGGCAGCTACCCTTACCCTCTTCTCCATGTCGGCTTTGCCCTGCTCAGCCTGCAGCGCCTTCCGCATACCGAAGGCCACGCTGCTCTCGTAGAGCGTCTGGTGGGCAGCGAGCGTCATCTGGATCTCGTCCCGCACGCGCAGCAGCAGCAGCCCCCGCTCGGCACAGTTGATAGTCGTCTCACGAATCAGCTCGTCTTGCAAGGGCAGGTACAAAGGGGCTATTCACAGGGGCTGTCGGCTGCCGCGCAGAGCGCGAGCTAAGGTCAGGAGGGCAGCTCGGGGAGCTGGGGATGCCGCAGCGGGCGGTGCGGGGACATGGGGGGCTGCTGGTGCAGGTGGGACATAGGGGGATGGAGGGGACATTCCCACAAGGCCGGTACCAAAGCACTGGGCATAGAGCTCATGGGGCAGGGAATGAGGGACACTGCAGTAACCGGTGCGGGGACATGAGGGATGGTTGGTGCAGGGGGCATTGAGGGGACATCCCCGTGAGGCCCCTACCAAGAGCTCGTGGGGCAGAAGGTGAGGGTCACTGCAAGGAACAAGGGGGGATGATGGTGCTGGGAGGGGATGCAGGGGCCCTGGCCAGGCTGTGGCCACCGCGCCTGCGGCGCCCGTACCAAAGCACTGCGCGTAGAGCTCACGGCGCACGGGGCACAGGCCGGTCTCGCGTGCTTGGCGCTGCTGCAGCCGCAGGTCCAGCTGCTCCTGCAGACGCACCACGTCGGCGCGGGTGCTGGGCGCGCCCGACACCTCTTGCACCCACAGCCGCCCGTCCTCGCTCCACTCCCTGCAGCGGAAAGCACCGTGAGCGGCGGGGGCGGCGGGGGCAGCGGTAGGGCCCGCGCGCGCCGCTCACCGCGGCGGCAGGATGGCGTTGAGCACGTCGCGCGCGGGCTCGGCGGCGGCGGAGGCGGGGCGCGGCGGGGCGGCGGGCGCGGGGCGGCGCTCCCCGCGGCGGCTCACGAGCACGGGCGGCTCGTAGCGCAGCAGCGAGTCGGGCGGCGGGATCATGGCGGCCTCTCCGCGCGCGCCGCGTCGTCACGGCAACCGCCGCCGGGGGATGTAGGGGGAAGTGCTGCTCCGCGCCTGCGCAGCCGGCCCGCCGCGGAAGCGGCAGGAAGCGGGCGGAAGCGGGGTGCACTTCCTGCGGCGGCGCCATGGAGGAGGCGGCGGGCGGGCGGCGGCGCGAGCGGCGCTCGGCGGCGGCGCGGGGTTCCCCGCGGGACTCACCACCAGCTGCGCGGCCCCGCTCGAGCTCCGGCTCCCGCAGCCGCCTCCGCGCCGCGCGCGGCAGCCAGTCCCCCCCGGGCGAGGAGCGGCGCGGGCCGCGGCGCGGCGGCAGCAGGTAGGCCCGGGCCCGGCGCCGCGCCGCCCCGCGCCGCCGCCGCGCTCAGCGCCTCTCGCTCTCCCCGCAGGTCGCCCAAGAGGCGCGAGAAGGCACCGGGCCGCAGGAGCCGCTCGCCGCGCGCGCGCAGGAGCCGCAGTCCCCGCAGTCCCCGTCGCGCCTATGTGCGCGTGAAGCAGGTGAGCAAGGGGGCGGCTCGGTGGGGGAGCGGCCTGGCACTCCCCGTGCCCCTCCGCCCGTGCGGGACCCCTCACCCGCTCTGTTACCTGCAGCCTCCCTATGATAGCGGGAGGCCAGTTCGGCCTGCAGGAAGTTTTCTGCTGCTTTGTGTTAAGGGCAGATACATCGGAGTCCTTGTTTTGCACTGCTGCTTTACGATAGATCAAATACATCGGAATCCTTATTTTGCACATGTTGTTTCCCTTTAAAGTAGATTCCCTGCCCTTTCCTTCTGCCTGGTTATTGGGAGAGGCTCTTTGTTACAGGAACGAGAGGAGCGTCCACACAGGGGAAACGAGGAGCGGAAGCAGAGGAGCTCGTCCGAACAGGAACATAGGCGGGACAGAAGCGATGACAGAGAGAGACACAGAGAGCACTCGGACAGGAGGAAAAACCCCAGCGAGAGGCCCGGGGGCCGAGGGCACGAGCGAGACCGGGATGCACAGAACATGCGCGAGCAGCAAGTGGAGAGGGAGTTCTACAATGAGAGGAGGCGTGAGCATCGGGAGAAGAACGAGGCGAGCGGTGTCAACCAGAACCTGGAATTCCAGCAGGCTGAGAACAAACCCAAAGAACCGGTAAAAAAAGAGAAGCCAAGTTTTGAACTGTCTGGCGCTCTGCTGGAGGACACCAACACCTTCCGAGGGGTGGTGATCAAGTACAGCGAGCCGCCTGAGGCGCGGATCCCGAAGACACGCTGGCGCCTCTACCCGTTCAAGAATGATGAGTTCCTGCCAGTCATGTACATCCACAGGCAGAGCGCCTACCTGCTGGGTCGGCACCGGCGCATCGCCGACATCCCCATCGACCACCCGTCGTGCTCCAAGCAGCACGCCGTCTTCCAGTACCGGTGAGTGGGGGGCGCCTGTGTGGATGTCTGAACCGAGCCAAGACCTCACCATTGTAACCAGCAATCACGTTAGTCCAAGGAGAGGGTTTCACTTGATCTTTTTCAGCAAGAGTCGCTGCTCTGCTGAAAAAAGGGTTGGTCTTCAAAGGATCAGGCGCCTGTTCTGTTGTAAAAAAGTTCCTAAGTTAGAGAGTTGTCTCCCCCAGCTTTTGGAAGGTGATGCAGTCTGTTGGAATCTCAGTTTGAGGTGGTATTGGAATCTCACCTGGAGTCTCGCTCTCCTGAGGCTTCCTTACCTTTCTGGAAACACAGAGAGCGTTGTCCCCCCCATCCCCCACCCCACCCCTGCTTTTGGAGTGCTGGCACCAAGGGCGCGCCGGGTGTTTCTGTGCTCTGCTCAAATGGTGCTTTCTGTCCCGCCAGGCTCGTGGAGTACACGCGTGCCGATGGCTCTGTCGGCCGCCGTGTGCGGCCCTACATTATCGACCTCGGCTCCGGCAACGGGACGTTCTTGAACAATCAGCGGATTGAGCCACAGCGCTACTATGAACTGAAGGAAAAGGATGTGCTGAAATTCGGCTTCAGCAGCAGGGAATACGTGCTTCTTCACGAGTCTTCAGATAAATCTGAGGCGAACACAAAGGACGATGATGAGGAGGAGGAAGAGAAGGAGCAAGAGTCAGACAGTTAACAGCTGGGGAGGAAATTGGGGTGGTAAAAATATCTTTCCAATAGAACATTCATTGGGATATAAACATTGGAGCATCAAAGCACTGATGCCTCTTACTGCCTTAAAGTCCTTCTGTTGCTGGTCTGTTCTTGTAGCTTATTTGGGGGACTTTAATCATCTGATAATTCTCCTTATCAAGAAATCCAGTGTTTTCTAAGCATATTTCCCGTAACAAAGAACAAAGAGCACCTGGAGTGAAAGCTACGGTGCTGGAAATATTCAACATGTGTTGAAAGACTCCTAGTAGATAATGTAAAACACAGTGGGCGTATTTAAAATTATTTTTATGAGCTGTTTTGTCATAATCCTTTGAAAATGCTACTTAACTGAAAAATTAGGTAGAAACTAGCCAGATATATTTTCTCGTACTTGGTAGGATTTGCCAAATTTGTATGTCCGTTGAGAAATCTGGAGGGGGAGATTATCACGTTTCACTACTAAAGAGGCAGGGATATTGCAAGGCCCCTCTGGGTAGTTTGCATTGTGAAAACTTTTCAGGGATGGGCATTTTACCGGCATACCGTGGAATTCCCAGGGGAAGTGAAAGGCTTCCCAGGGCTTTAGTTTATACTGTGGATGGGGAGGGGGTTGAAGGCAGTATGTGTCCAAATACATTGGCACTAGATACTGAAATTGTTTTTGGATGTTGAGTATCCAGTTTGAAAGCAGAATCCTTTATTTTTTGATAACAGCGCGTCCGTATAAATAATTTCCCCTTGTTTCTATTACATGTAGATACCTGTTATGTGATGAGACATTTTCAACAGTTTGCACTATTTAAGTTTTCTTTATATAAAATGTTTTACTGTCATTTGTTTGAAGCAGTCTCATTTTCTGCTGTAGAAGAAAACATGTTTTAGGAGGGAGAGAAAAAACTCTAGTTAATGGAAGTGCTTCGGTTTTGCCTGTTTTTGGAAGGCTCCTTCCCGCGCTTCGCTTTATGGTAAATGAAATGTACGTTTTGCACTTCTTTATGCCCTTTTCCCCGGTGTTGCGCGGTCGCCGCTCACGGGTGCTGTCCGGTGCTGTCCGCAGCCAATGCTGTTCCTTATCTGCCCGGACCCGGGTGTTCATGGTGTCGATGGGGGGCGTTCCTGGTGGGGCTGCGGCCGGCGGGTGGAAAGGGGGCCCTGCTTTGAAGAGGGGGGCGGGTCTCGTTTCTCCATACGGGGGTTTAAATGCAGTTTGTCAGTGGAGCCCAGGGCCCGCTCGGTGCCGGCCTCTCTGTCCCTCGGTACCCGGGAACGCGGTTGGGGGGGCGGGGCTCCCCGCTGCGGGGTTTCTGGTTTCCGGTGCGGGGTTTCCGCTGCCGTGGGCGTTGCCCGGCGCGGGGTTTCTGATCCGCCGTTTCCTGCCCGGTGCGGGGTTTCCCGTGCCCGGTTCCTGCCCAGTGCGCTGCCCGCTACCGCGCTCGCCCTTCTCGGATCCCGGAAGGCGCCTCCGCGCCCTGGGGTGACGTTGCGGGGGCCGGCCCCTTCCCTTCCGGGCCATTCCGGGCGGCGCGGCGCGGCGTTCCGGGCCGTTCCGGGATGTTCCGTTCCGGGCCGCGGGGGGGCGGTGTTGAGGAACGGACCACTCCGGGCCGTTGCATGCAGTTCCGGTCCGGGCGGCGCGGGCGCGGGGCCGCGTTCCGCTCCGCTCCGTTCCGTTCTGGGCCGCGCGGCCGGTGCCGGTATCGGTGCCGGTGCCGCCATGGCGGCGCTGCACGCCAAGGCGGGCGGCCCCCCGCAGATCCCCGACACGCGGCGCGAGCTGGCGGAGCTGGTGAAGCGCAAGCAGGAGCTGGCGGTGAGCGCGGGCCGGGGCGGCGGCGGGGCCGGGGCGGCGGCGCGGCCCTCACCGCGCGCCCCCGCAGGAGACGCTGGCCAACCTGGAGCGGCAGATCTACGCGTTCGAGGGCAGCTACCTGGAGGACACGCAGATGTACGGGAACATCATCCGCGGCTGGGACCGCTACCTCACCAACCAGAAGTGAGTGCCCCGCGCGCGCGGCCGCCGGGCCTGCCGCCACGCCGCTGCTGCGCCCTCTCTTGCAGGAACTCCAACAGCAAGAACGACCGCAGGAACCGCAAGTTCAAGGAGGCCGAGCGGCTCTTCAGCAAGTCCTCCGTCACCTCGGCCGCGGTGAGCGACGCGACGCCCCCACGGGCAGCCACTGGCCACGGGTTCTCTGATGCCCCCAGTCCTGGCGGGAATGGCCAGGTGCTGCCAGGATCCACTGGCCCCGGGCGCTCTCGCTGCCCTGGCAGGTGTCCTGGTGCTGCTGCAGCCACAGGGCCCCTTTGGGTTTGAGCTGCCTGTTTTTCCCTCCTGCTCCCCCAGCACCTTCACTCCCCTGTTGGAATCTCTTTCAGAAAACTCTTTTTTCTAGTGTCTGGAGAGGTGAGAGGTAATGGTGATTAGGAAACACCCCTGCCATTTGCCTCTGTCTCTGCTCCCCTGTCCCTTTTTGTTCTTATCTCTCCCTTTTGTTGTGCCATGTCGGTGCTCTGTAAGTTGTAAGTTCTCTGAAGCTAAGGCCTGGTGTGTCCTCCTCTGTAGGTGATTTCCCCTTGTTGGATGTTTGAAAACAAGTGAACTGCCACTTTCATGAAGTCCCTTTTGATTTTCTAGGCGGTCAGTGCATTAGCTGGAGTCCAAGACCAGCTCATTGAGAAGCGTAAGTCACTTCTTCCTTTTGCTCTGAACACAACTGATTTGGAAGGAATCTGGAACTGGTTTGGAAAGAACTGGTGTGGAAAGAACTTCTGCATCCATTATGTGCTGATCAGTGCTGGATTTCCAGTGTTTGGAGTCAAAAAATGTAGTTCTCATAGTTTTCTTTCCCTAGTGCCTTCAGAATATTAGCCATTTATGTTCAGATAAAAAAGAAAATTTTGTAACTGAAATCAAATCAGCTGCAAGTCTAGTTTGCCTCAGTCACTGAGGCGGCAGCCTGCTCCATTGTAGCTCTAGTTCTCAGGTTTTCTGTCTTGCCCCTTGCTGCTTTGCTGGAGGCTGCTCTGTCTGCTCAGGATCTCTGGGGTTGAGGGATTCCTCAGGCTGGGATGTGGCCTCCAGGGAAGTGACCACTGCGTTTGTCATGTGCAGGGGAGCCAGGCAGTGGGACAGAAAGTGACACTTCCCCCGATTTCCACAATCAAGAGAATGAGCCCAGCCAGGAGGATGCTGAAGAGCTGGATGGCTCTGTGCAGGGGGTGAAGCCCCAGAAAGCTGCTTCCTCCACTTCCTCTGGCAGCCACCACAGCAGCCACAAAAAAAGGAAGAACAAAAATCGACACAGGTTAGTGGTATCTGCAGCCTCCCTCTGCCAGTGTCTGGTTACCAGTGGCTGAATTGACCTCATTATATGTGCAAGGACCTAGTAATTTCAGCTCATGCAACCTCTTTGTTGTGGTAATGTCTCTTATTTTTAAGTTTTACACATCAGGATTGCTGCTATTGCAGGAAGGAGGGGAAGGCAACTAAAACCAGCATCTGCACCCGTGCTCATTCCAGCTGTGACACAGCTGGATCTGTGACAGGGCCTTCTCAACTCTATCCAGGAGAATAGGACTCTTTTCCCTCCAGAGGGCAGGATCCCAGGCCTGGTGTGCAGTACTGACTGCACAGGTTCCTGCAGAGCTGCTTGCTTTGGGGAAGGAGGGTGAAGCAGCAAAGCAGAACGGGGCATTATGGATACTCTCAATACTTCCATCCTAACCCCTTTTTGTTTGTTGTCCTGAGCTGAGACTCTTTAGCTTAGAGTTGCTTTGTTTGTCAGGAGCTTAAGCTGCATCTGCAAGGTGAGCTACAGTGGGCAAGCTGCTTCCTGCAGCGTCAGAAATAAAGCAGCTCTTTTGCAGTGCCATCCCTGGGCCAGCACAAACATAACCTGCTTCCTGCCTTTCTCAGCACCCTGCAGTAAGAGCTGGCTCAAGGAGGGCTAAAGGATGTGATAACATGCGGTGGGGTTATGCCCTTAGAAACAGAACTGCCTGGAAAGAAGAGCTGGAGACTTGCTGCAGAACAGTGCCTTTCTGGAAATGATTGCTGGAACTGGTACCTAAAGATTATTAGAAGTGAAGGAGTTCAAAATCAAGCGTTCCTTCGACCTCAGCTTTTTGGCTCTGAGTATGGACAGGTTTCCCTGTCGGGGAACTTGCCATATTCGACTGCCATGATTGCAGGAGAGAGAAATGTTTTAAAGAGCAGGGGTAAAAACACGCTAAGATCGCTGGGGGGAAATTCATTTGGCTGACAGAGAGGTAGGTAATGTGTTTGCAAACTGTTCTACTGCCATTTTGCCTTCATTAGATTTTGAGTCATTGCTATGTCTTTAATTGTTAGGTCAGCATTTTCTTCCTACAGCTTTAATTGGACAGGCACCCTAAAATACTGGATGTCCTCTTCAATTCCTTATGAACTAGGAATCTTAAGTGGTTTAAAATATTTTTTTTTGTTTGCCTGTAGATATTTGAAAGAAGTCCAGGGTTAACAAAAAATAAAAAAAAAAAAGAAAAAGAAAAAAAAGCCTGTGTAAGCAACTTCAGAAAAACATTCTGTAAAGCTGCAGTACAAAGTATAGCAGAAGAAAATTGTGCATTTCTTTTTGCTGAATGAATTAGAAATTATTGTACAAAATGTTTATATGGAAAACAAATGAACCAATCCATTGCTATTGTGTTACAAATGCTGTAAATAATATGCATTCTTTTGCTCCATTGAGTTTTGCTCCAAACTTTGGCAGCAGGAGTTAGGAAGAAACCATCCTACTGAAAGGTTATTTTGCTTTGGGGGTTCTTGTTCATTCCTTCCACTGAAGCAGCTGATGCTAGTACTGTTGGAGACAGAATATTGGACATGAGGAGCCCTGATCTGATCTGGTATGGCAATTATTATCATCTTGAGAGATGCAGCAGACAAATCTCAGTTATGGAAAGGCTTTTCAAATTAATAACTGACTATTCTGTAATGCTCAGCATGGCCAGATAATAAAAGTGATCAAGTTTGTCTTTAGTAAATTTAAAAATTAAATTTAAAATTAAAATTTAATAAAACTTGTTAAAATTGTGATCGCGCTTACTGACTATCCCCTAAATTTCCCCCCAAAAAAAAGACTGGGCCTTTTGAACATATCTAGATTAAAAAAAAAAAAAAAACAACAGTGCTCATCTGCTAAAAATGTAAGTACTTTAACAAGCCTTGCAGCCTGGAGTGCATTTTATGAACAGACCTGTGTGTCTGTTCTTTGAATGTCAGGTAATAGGGAAAAAATAATCCTGCAGTTGCCTTTGTGGCATTTCTCGTTAGACTTTTCCAGTTGATACCTGCCCAGGCAGCAGAGTTGAAAGCTGCCTTCAGAGTGGGCAGAACTGCAGCTGCCCATGAAGCTCTGCTCCAGGCTGCAGCGGCACATGCAGTTTTGCTCCAAGCTAAATGCAGGGAACCAGCTGGACATTAGTGTGGTCGTGCTGCAGTCACCCTCAGTGCCTACACAAGAACGAGGACAGTTTAGTGGCCAGACATTCCAGGAGGAAACACTGCTGCTTCCTCTTAGGAGTTGAGTGCCGCTGAGCCATAGATGTTGTGGTGACACAACAAGCACAGGGGCAGCTTTCAGGGGCTCTTGCTAAGGACTGTGCGGAGGGCGCCGTGCGAGGACAACCTGCAACTGAGCTGCAATTGGGTTCAGCCTCTTTACCTTGTTTTCTTTTTTACTTTCTAAATGAAGCGCATGTAAGAGAAGTGTCTGTGTGTGTGTGTGTGTGTGTGTGTACACATTATCAGAGTATCTGACTGCAACCGTTGGCCACAGTTTTATGGTTGTCTCTGCCTGACCAAGCTTTGCTTTGCTGCAATAACCTGACAAAGCCACTGCTTACTGACCACCCATTTGCTTTTTTGCAAGCAAGTCACCTTCTGTTCCTCTGCCTGTGAGCTAGTGTGTGCCTTCAAGTAATAATCTGAACATAAAATTTCCGCCCTAAAAACACTCTGCTTCTGTTTTAACACTTTTTTTTTTTTCCCCCCATTTTCCTTTTTCTTTTTTCTGGAAATCAAATTGGGGAGGGGGAATTCTGGATTGCCGGATCTGGAGTGCTTTTTGTGCCCAGTCCTGGTTAAGATATTTTAAGAACTTTATGGCATTTGAACACTGGCTTTTTTTTTTTTTTTTTATATATATATATATATATATTATATATATTATTAATCTTGCTAGGGTGGCTAATCAACTAATTTATTTAATTCATTAGTATATTAATTTCTATTGCTTTCTTCCTTTCAAATGCTGCCCCTCAGCCCGTCTGGCATGTTTGATTATGACTTTGAGTAAGTTTGACTTGAATTAGTACTTGTGCTGTGTTGTTAGTGTGTAGAAACCAATGTGCCTTTTGAGACCTTTCTAACCCATAGTTTATCTGTTTAATTGTAGGTATGTATATTAGGTTAGGCTGGGAAGTTTTTTTTAAAAACAGAAAAGCGTGATGGAGGTAACATTTTATTTAATAACTTTAGCAAAATTAAATTAACTCCACTCTTCTTTACCTCTCTATTCCATTTTTAAATAGATAAACTTTTTTTTAACTTAAAAACTTAGTTAAATTCTAATTCTTCTGGCTTTGCTTCCTAAGGAAATTAGCGTAGATTTGGATATTTCCTTCTAAAAAAATGTAATAAGCTCAATACCCTTGACTTCTCTAATCCCTGTTAGCTCACACTCCTATCTCTATTCCAATAAATAATTGTTATCACCATGTCTGAATAATTACCTATGGCATAGTTACACCTCTAACAAATTAACATAGAGCATGCGTATTTAACCTTATTTCTTTATGCTGTGTAACGTCCCTTGATTTTTATTACTATCTTTTATTAGCTCTTTTTCCGAGTGGGCGGAATATGCATTTGGGCAAAAAAAAATAAGAATCCACTCTCCTTCTCCTTACTGCTCCTTGTCCAGTAATCCTGGGACAGTGATTTGGCTCAGCTGATTTGAGAATGTGGATTGAATTAACCAAATAGTCTTTGTTGTAGCCTGTGCCATAGGCAGTAGCTGGTTCTTTGGACTCAGGTGTTGGTTTAATGTATTGAAATGGACATTTCTCTTATCTTTCCAACCACAGGATTGATCTCAAGTTAAACAAAAAGCCAAGAGCCGTAAGTATCAGTGCTCTGTCATTGTTTTCATTGCTCATCCATGCACTCGAGTGGCTGACTGGCACCTAATCTTATAAAGCCTGCTTCTGCTGTAATTTCTTATTTTCATGTTTGAGGAGTGTCGGTATGAAATAAGCATTGGGTTGTGGCTTTAACAGTAGATAAGCCCAGGTAGGCTCATTAGGAAGCTAGGTGACAGTTAAAACCTGCCCAAACTTTTTATGAAAAGCAGCTGTTTTGCGTTCTTCCGTCTTTCGTCATGATCTGCGGTATTAAAAGTACGTGGTTTTGGATGGTGTGTTTCTCAGCTGAGGTTTTTGAAGGGTCTTTAAAATGTTAAGCTGTAAGGAAAAAAAAGAAATCTCTTTTCTGTTTTGCCTGCAGCCAAGCCTGAACATCACAGCTCTGCAAGCAGAGGTGGCAGAGGAGAGTGTTAATGTGTCTGTCCTGTCCTTTCTCCACAGGACTACTAGACTCATCAGTGCTGAAGCGCCCGGGATTTAGGTCTGTGCGACTCCCCACCGAGCAAATGCAACTCAACTGCATGAGCCTGATGGCAGCTCTGTGGCCAAGCACCTGCATATAGGAGTGCTTCACTCTCAAGAACTCAGATAGGGGGGAAATAGTCCTGGACCATGTACTTTGCATCATTTTCAAATCACCCAAGTTGCAACAAGACGAAGGTGTGGTAGGGGCAGTCTTGGGCGCCGGAGCATTCTGTGCTTCCAGCTCAGTGGGGAATTTCCTACAGCTGGCTCATACCCCTGTCATCTGTAACTGCAATGGGGAGATATTTGCTTTTCCACTGGAATCAGGGTATGGTTCTGTATGTCCCATCCACATTGTAAGACCGGTCAGTTACTTTTGATAGTGCTATTTAGCTGTGTCGTTTTTGTTTTCTTTTTTTAATCTGAAGTGTGTAGTTAATTGGCTTTTGTTTGTTTTAATCCATATAGAGAGGAAGGGTCTTCATTTTGTGGAACAACCCATTTGAATTCTTATTCAAGCAGAGACGAAGGTGGTTTAACCCTTTTCTCTGATTTTATTTTAAACAGGAACCCTTAAAAGTGTGTGTAGTGCTTTTAGATACAAGGAGGGCTGAGCTCAAAGCCATCTTGCTCTTTGCTGTCTTTGAGGTTGGGTGTGTTCTCTTTTTAATACAATCCTCTGTCATTTGTACATAAACAATAAATGTTTCATCTTTGTCGCTCTTCTCAGGCTTTGTTCAGTTTGGAGAGCCCACTCGTGGCATTCCTAGTTCTTCGCCCGCTCGATGAGGGCTCCTCTGGATTTACCGTTCTGTGCAGCCCGTTCCCGCTCCGGCTGGGGATCCCAAGGCTGAGCACTTGGCGGGATTGCTCGCCCCTAATCTCCAACTGTGTTCAGCTAATCCTGCTTCAAGGCAGCACTTGGATGCAAGTCAGGTCTTGCTGTTGCTGGAAGAATGCCCACAGATAAGGGATGAGCGGGCTCGGCTGCCACTGGGAAAATGCGCAGAGATGGGTGTTCTGCACAGGAGCCAGGATTTCCATGCCTTGTGTGTTTCCATGCTCCCGATGTTAAAAGAGGCAGCGCCTTTCTCAAGGGGTGTCCCTCGGGCTGCAGTGGCTTTGCCTTTGCTTAAACATCGCAGCTGGAGACAGCGCTGCGGGGAAAGGAGCCTGCCATGCAGCTGTCCTTGCAGTAGCTGAGGCCGTTCCTGTGGTCCCTACCTTTCCCTTGGGCTCCTCACAGCTCTCCTAAGCGCAGCCGCAGGGCCACACGCTGGGGGCAGCAGGGATGGGGACATTGCAGTGGGTCCTGCCTCGCAGCAGCTGCTCTCATGCAAGGACTAGACTCAGCTGCTCAGGGTGCAAGCGTCGAACGGGAGCAGCCTGGGGGAGCTTGGCACCGATGGAGGGCAAGGGAAGCAGCCACTGCTCTGCTCACAGTTAAAAAAAACAGTTGCCTTAACGTGATGCCCAGCAGCTGCCTAGGGACAGGTGACGTGAAAAGGTCGAGTTCTATTGGTGCTAATGCAGTGTGGGGAAGGCAGGGAGCTGGGGGGTCGCAGGGCAGCTCAGGCCCATGAGTGTTGTCCCTTGCAATAGTTTCACAAGAGATATTGGGGCACTTGGCTCTGAAACCCTTTTTCCTTCCATAACCACCTGAGTGACTGAAGTTTCGCATGATCTTCAGTGCCTGGTTCTGATTACTGAAGGCCCGGAGCACTGCACAGGCTCGTATCAGAATTTTAACATCATTTAATTGCGTTTAGGAGCTAAATTAAGTCCTTTGCTTGCAGCAAATGCTTCCCAGGCTGAGCCAAGGAGGGCAGCAGAGCAGCAGGAGCAGAGCAGGAGCGAGTCTCTAATCCCCTGTGCAGCCTCTGCCCCAGAGGCTTAGGGGGGTTTATCCGTCCAGCACCCGGCACCACCGCGGAGGCTGGGGCCACCGGAGGAGCAGCCCTGCATGCAGCGCAGCGGGTAGGTGGCAGCGCTGGGGCCTGCGGGGGGCCCTGCAGGGTCTGCCCCCCCCCCCCCCCCCCCCCCCCCCCCCCCCCCCCCCCCAGTCTCGCTCCTTCCAGTGGCGGGTGCGCTCAGTTGCGCGCAGCCCGGGGCAGCTCTGGGATGGCTCCGGTGTTGGCTCCGGGCCCCACTTGCACTGCAGGGCGCATGGGGCAGCCACATGGCCCCTCCGCGCCCCGGGGGCTCCGTGCTCCGCACACCTGGTGCCGGCGGCTCCTGTCCCTGGTGAGGACAGCACTCTCTGGGCTGCTGCTGCTCTGGACACTGGCCTGGGTCAGTAGCGCCAGGAGCTGCCACCTCCTCTCTGCGCGGCTGTGGGTGGTTGCACCGGAGCTGGATGCAAGGGGCACAGTGTGAGGCAGGAGCTGGGCGGGGGGGGGGGGGGGGGGAGGTCGGGACACAGGCAGCAGCACCGCCCAGGCCTCCTGCAACACAGACACAGCCCAGCTGCAGGGAGAGGCTCTCGCACCCCTGGGTGAACAGGTCACTGCCCACTCGGCAGCACCAGGCGCACCAGGGGAACCTCCCCATGCAGCTCCTGCCTCTATAATCTTAATGCAGCGCCAGCCTCCACTCATGAAAGGGCAGCAGGGCCCTTTGTCCCAGCTCTCCAAGCGCTGCCCTCCCCAGGGGAGCTGGCCTGGAGCTCAAGGTGGCTGTAGAGGGTCCCATCAGCCTGGGGAGGCTGTTGGGCCCCACGGGGTCTCTGTTCCTCAGGCACCATCTGCCTCTGCCTTTCCCACAGTACCTGCTCATCTGCTGCAAGCTTTGCTGCGATGCGATCCTGCAGTTCCTGCAGGAGGTAAAGGCCCCACTCCCCTGCTCCTTGGGCCCTCAGCTGCAGAGTGGTGGGTGTCCGCTCTGCATCCCCGCCTGCAGCTGGGCTCGGCGGCACTGCAGAAACTAGAGGGTGACGTTGCGAGCGGCGAGGACAGCGGCTCCCCAGCCATAGCGCACCCAGAGCAGCCAGGTTGGAGCATGGGGCCCAGCTGGGCACCCAGCAGCCAGCTCTGCTGCTGAGGTGCCCGCTGCCGCCAGGCCCCCCGGAACTGCAGCGGCTGCACGAGGCCCACGCCGCCCTGCACAGGAGGCTGCAGGCACTGGAGGATGACATCAGCTTCTTCAGCACTGAGCTGGGTGCTGAGAAGCTGCTCTGGAGCAGCCGCTTCCTGGAGCTTCTGCGGGAGCAGCAGGTGCTCGCAGCCCGCTTGAGTGATGCCGGTGATGTCCCCCGCATGGGCGGTGCCAGTGACATCCCCTGTGTGAGCTGGGCTAGCGAAGCTCCCCGTAGGAGTGGTGCCAGCGACGCTGTTGGTGACGCCCTCCGTGTGAGCGGTGCCAGGGACAGCGCCTGCCTGAGTGGTGCCACCGCCACCTCCGTGCAGCCTGGCTGCAGCCTCCAGCCCCTGCCCTGGGAGCGAAGCCCCAGGCCCTACGCTGCTGCCAGGCAGGCTGAGCGGTGGAGCAACATGGGCAGCCCTGAGCCCAGCGCGGCAGCAGGTAGTGGCAGCGGGAGGCCCAGGGCCTGGCCCAAGGTGGCAGGACACAGGCACCCTCCTCGCACTGGGGTCCCCACAGGCCTTCCTGCAGCTGGCACCTTCCCCTCTTCTTCCCCACAGGGAGGGCAGCGCAGGCAGGGCCCCGGTCCCAACGCTCCCCCTTGTCCTTCGCCCCCCTCCAGGACTGAGCCCCGCAATAGCAGCAACAGGGCTGCAGAGCCACCGGGGTCGGGTGTCCCATTGCACGAAGGCCTCACACTGTCCTGGGACAACCCAGCACCACGGCCGGGCCTGCAGCAGGCGCCGCTCCTCTCCCCAGAGTCAGGAGCTCCGGCCCCAGCTCACAGCTTCTGGGAGCCTGCAGACCCAGGTCCGAGGCACATCCCACATCACCCAGCATCAAGCAGAGGGGCTGCAGCAAAGGGCAGACTGCAGAACACAGGCAGCCAGAGGCCCTGGCCCCAGTTCCACACATGAGGGGCAGCTCCAGGAAAGCTCCCGGAGAACCTTGGAGAGACCCCGACCATGATGGTACAGGGGGGACCTGCCTGGACACTGGGGAACCAGCTGCTGGGTGGCGGTCACCTGTCACCCACAGGCAGGAGGTGGGAGCTGGCTGGTGCTCTCTACAGATGCTGGCTGCAATAAACAGTGGCCGTGGCTGCTCCCGGCTCTGGCTGCACATCCTGGCTCTGGCTGCATGTCCCAGCTGCGCCCAGCCATGCCTGGGGCCTGCTCGCGCTCAGTGCCGACTCACAGACCGGCTCGTGTTGTTCATAGGCAGCTGCAGCAGCGGCACTTCCTCCCTCACAGCTACTGCTGCCTCCTGAGGGGCCCCTGCAAAGCAGCTGCTCCTCACCAAGGGACACACAAGAGGTGCCTGTCCCCACAGCACCTCTGGAGGCAGCCCTGGCCTGTGCACGTAACCCTTCCCTGGGTGCAGCACCCTTGGGTGGTGCCACTGCCAGCACTCGCTGTTTCTTGCTGCAGCAGCTGCTCAAGGAACCCATCCCCATCATGCCCCACAGGGCCTCCAGGCCCAGGGCTGCCATGGGGACCCTCCGGAGCAGCTGCAGCCCTTGAGCCCTGCGTGGAGAGGCCCCAGCAAAGCCCTCCCGAGCACAGGGAGAGGCTCGTGCAGGGCCGGGTTCTCTCACCATGCACACGCAGCCCCAGTGCAACCAGGGAACGGCTGCAATGCAAATAAGAGCAGCCTGATTCATCCTGCACTGGGCTGGCTCATACAAGGCGGAACAGCCCGTGACCAGGAGTGCCAGGACAGAGCACACGGGAGCCACAGAGGGCCCTGCAGGGCCTCCAGGGCAGCCAGCCTGGAGCCGGGTGCCCATGGGAGCCGCAGCTGCTCAGAGCGGCCTCCTCAAGCAGCACCGTGGGGCCCCTGACAGCCACGGGACCCCACTTGGCAGCTGCTGGAAGCCCCGGCTGCCTGCAGGCCCTGCCAGCACTGCCATCTATTGCTCAAGCAGGTGCTGCCTTCGCTCCAGAGCATCTGTGCAGGGCAGGCTGCAGGGGGAGGCACTCTCAGCAGCCAGGAAAGCCAGTGCTGCTTTGACTCACACTCCGCGTCCCCACCACAAGGCCAGGGCAGCGGCATCACACTGAGGGCTCGCACTTTGGTGGGGTCCAGGGTGCTCTCCTGCAGGAGCTGCGGAGATGGCAGCTCCATCAGCTGCACCGGCCTCACGGTGCCCGCACGGGGCACTGAGCAGCTCTGCACATCGAGGAATGTGAGAGCCCCGAGCACCACGGTGGCCACCCCGCCTTCCTCCCTCTTGTGCTCAGCCTGCTCCATCTTCACTGCTTCCATTCCTTAGGCATCACATTAAAGACCAAAAACATTGAAATATCCCATAGCACAGGCTTCCAGAAAAAGCTTCCCCTGCTTGTCCTGCAGTAAATCAAAAGTAAAGCCCCTTAATGACACTGAATTCCCTTTCCATCAGTCCCTGTGACCTGGGAACAGCAAAGGGGAGTTCCCCACGCAAGCGCTTGCCCAGATGCCTTTCCCAGGGCAGTGACTCGCTGCCCAGGCATACACTGCTGCAGCGCATCCATCTGAGCGAAACAGAATTCCCACATACACCCGGGAAAACAAACATTGGCAAAGACGTCACTTTACTGGAAGGCCCAGCCTTGAAATCCTGGAAAGTCTGACCACATAGCTCTCATTTTGAGGTGAAAAGGACCCAGAGAAGGTTGGCACGGCTGCAGAGAGGCAGCAGCTCAGGGGCAGGGAAGCCCAACCGAGAGTCACATGTAACCAGCCCTTCCGTTATAGACCCAACTAGTTAGTGGCTGCTGCAAGCAGAGGAGCCCCTGCCTAGTTAGAAGGTCTGGTTGTATCCATGACACCCACATCCCAACACTGCAACTGCCCTGAGAACTCACTCCCTCTCCAGAGGCACTTCCAAAGGGTCCCTTTCCCACAGCCAAGAAATGACCTTTCAGCCTGGGAGCTTCAGGACACTTCACACATAGTTCGAAGGCTGCCAACTAGACCAGCTCCACAGCAGCTGTTTCCCTTGGTTTTGATTAACTAGAAATAGCCATTGCCCTGTATTAAACTAAGAACACCAATTTGAATAAAGGCCATAAAGTCCTTTGCCAAGTCGGATAAGAATGTGCTGTACTGCATTATAGCAGGTGGGAGGGGAAGATTTTCCTACAAAAATGCAAACATTGATATTCCTATTGCATTTCCCTGCCTGCTCCTGTCAAGGCACTGCTGCAGAGCCTTGTTATGTGACAATTAATACCCCAACACACTCAACACCTGCCAAGGAAGGCACTAAATATGAAATAGATTTTACTGCCTCTGCAGACAACTGGCTAGGTCACCTCTGCCTAAGCTAGAGCTGTATGAAATCAGTGCCCCTGTAAGGGTTAACTGGAGAAAGCATGCACTTATTTCCAGAATATACAGTGGAAACAGGCTGTAAAAATGAAGCCACTGCCCCCCATTCAAAAATAATCAACTGTATCTCACTGCAAAAATGCAGAATTGAAATTCCTTGACCCCAAGATCTTCTTTCCAGGCTTTTTCCCCCTCCATCTCACATGAAGGTTAACAGCACCACAGGATGGCTGAGGTTGGAAGGGACCTCTAGGGATCATCCAGTCCAATCCCCTACTCCAGCAGGGACACATGGGGCACCCAGTCACATCCAGGCAGGTTGGGAAGCCCCCCAGTTCCATGACAGGAATGTGGGCAGCCTGGTTGGGCACCACAAGGGCTTCTCCACACACCAAGCTGCAGCACCTGGACACCCAGCCCAGCACCCTGGGACCATCACCAAAACCCCAGCCAGGCAGGGTGACTTCTCCCACCTTCCCAGAACATGGTCCAGAACGCTGATCGGCCTTCCAAACACCTGAGACCAAAGCAACTCAAGCTAGCAAGCAGTTTTTATTTGTATAATACAACTCATCTTTGCCATGGCTTCACATAGCTGTCTCCATCCGGTACATAAGCTATATACTCCATAATGATACAGAAAGTACAGTAAAACACCAGGCTTTTGGGTATAAAATGTCACTCGACTACAGGAGAGCAAGCACATATCAGCCTCGTGCCGGAGAAATAAAAGACCAAGCCAAGTAACAAAATGGCTAAGTCGAATACAGCACTAATTAAAAACAGCATCAAGCAGCAAGTTCCTGGACAATAACATTAAACCCTTTTTTTTTTCTGTAATTTACAAATATGCAAAGTATCAGGTTACTTAAAATTAAGAAGCATTTTGCTTACTAACATGAAACATTACAATTTTGTAATGTATCATAATTAACCAGGTCTACAGGTGTCTGCGTCCCTGTGGTTTCTACGGCACATGGTGCCAGTTTGGGTAGGTCACTCCTTGGACAGAGGGAAAGTTCATAATAGACAAAAATGACTCCTGAAGAGCAGTCCCAGCATCTGCTGTTTTCTACTCTCCCCTTCACAATTTGCCACTCAACAACCTTGGTTTAACCACAAGATGTACTTACTCAAAAGAAAAAAAACCAAACAAAAAACCCACACAGATACAATGTGTATCAACAAATCAACTGCTTCTGGCCTGCAAGAATCTTTGTATTCCCAGCACAGTGAAATTCCAGGACCAGAACCAATTACTACTGTAATCGTTTTTGCATATGTAAATTGTTACAGTATCTACAGTAAAAAAATCTTAGAGAGGAACAGGCTACGAAAGGGGAACAGTCTTACCAAATAGGCCTCATTATACATTTTTGGATGCTGTTGTAGCTTGACAAAGCTTAAGGAGGGGATAAATATTAGTGAGAAGACGAAGCAACAGCTTTTTAGAGAAAAATACTAAGAAATTATCAGGAAGGGCATTGGCAGCAGCTGAAGGGCAGGACTACAGCTGTTTTACTGAATGCTCAAAACTATTGCTGTCTGAGGACAAAAGGCACAACATAATAAATTCTCTTTGTCAATATTACAGAGAGCCTAAGACGAGTGTCAAGGCAAGGTCAATGTTTTAGACCACTGCTGTGGTCACCCCCGGGTTCTGAGGACAGCCCTTTCCAGGAAACACAGAGCATGACTCGCACACAGCTTTGCTGCAGTGTCAGCGTCTCACCCTGAGAAAGGATGCGCTCCAATTAAAGAATTCCAGCTCCTCTTGCTTCTGGCAGCTGCACAGCTTGACTGTGGCATATATTGAAGAGTTACCCTCTTGCAGGGAGGTAAGTTCAGAAGGGAGCTTAGACAAGGAGGGTATCACTAAGTGTGCAGTGAAAACATATCAGCCTGCTCACCTACCCTCATGCTAGATCCATAAACCTTTTTCCACAGATCTGCATGGTAGAATTTAGCGGAGAGGCTCAGCTAAGGGCAGCCTGGATTATGCATTGCAGCCTTCACAAAGAAGCCTCACACCACTGCGCAGGAGTAATCCCTGCTGTTCACAAGCCCTGTAAAGCCCTTCCTCCATGTGTCTGTGAGCTATCTCAAAGCCAAAGTGACTGGCGGAGTAAGGGCCACCTGCAGTGTGAACTGCAGGAGCTGAGATGTGCCTGACTTGCCACTTACCCCTTGCATGAAAGCCCTGCCCTGGACCTGCTACTCCTCCTGCTCAACTGCCAGTCTCTCCAACATGCCCTGGGCACGGTGCCATACACTGTTCTTGCATCTTTACGATAGACACAGTCTTGACTATATCAGAACTCTGTGACCATCTGACACCTTCAGCTTGAGCCTAGTGCTCCCAAGGAGAAAGGAGGAGCTCCCAAAAGTCTCCAAAAGCAGGTGTAGAAAACTTTCCATGACACAAACAGCCCCTCAAGCTCTCAGCAGGCCTGGCTCCCCTCAGCACCTGCTCATATGCCTGGGTTTTGAGACTTGTATGTGAGTATTTCTGCAGCTAACCTCTGGGGATCCAAAAGCTGGGGGAAACGGCTCATCACAGCATCAACTAAGTGGGGATGGAATATGCCACACAGCTTGATATGCACATTGGCCCTCTCCTCTGCAAACTGGTCAGAGACGGCCCACTGGCAGGAGTCCTCGCCATACGTCGGTCCTGGGGCTCTCTGCACCGATCGAGGATCTCGCACGCTGCCAGATCGGGCTTGAGGAGGAGGCATCTGGTAGGGCTCAGACCAGTACTCACGAGAATGGGCTGCAGGGGCGTTATACTCACTGGGCAGGCTGTATTGCCCAGCGTTAGCTGTGTGAACAGGTACTCCATAGCCTGAGAAAGAAGGAGGCAGTGCCGAGTGAGACACCTCGGGGCTATACTGCAGGAAGCTAGCGCTGGAGGAAGGTGACTTATGGGAGCTATGCTTGTAGGAGAGCAGACCGTTCTGCTCTAAGCTGGGAGAGGCTGGATAGACAGGTCTCTGCCTCCCACAGCTACACACTGCCACCTGCTCCGCATGCGAGTGGTCACAGTGACTGGCAGATCTGTAAGGCCACATATCAGACATTTGGCTCTCCAGAGATCCGATGCCTGAGTCTAGATGCTCCTGAGAGATATACGAGAGAGAGTCCATATGAGGATGCTGGTACCTGTCAGAAGATCTGTGGCTCCCACTGTTAGGGGAGACCCCTCCTGACACAGGGCCTGCCACCTGAAGGGACACATCGCTGGCCTTCGCTTTAGGAGTCAAGCTTTTCCTCTCTGCAGAGACCTTCTGCAAAGAGCTTTTCTCACAGTCCAGGGACACAGAGCACAAGAGCTCTGCCTGGGAAGCTTTCTTGCCCTTCTCCTCCTTGGCAGCACTGCTACTTCTAGTAGGAGACAACCTTGCATTGGCTCGGAGTTCATCTGCTAATGAGCGCTGGGGTTGATTGATCCTTTCAGGGTGGTAGAATTTACACTTAATCCCATAAGTGCATTTCTTCCCTGCAAGAAAGAGGCAGAGCATGAAATGACCAGACTAAAATTCACTAAAGGCATGAATTATTCTTTGTACCAGCACTGCAATCTCCATGTTTAGAACACAGGTCTTACCATAAGGGCACTGCTGTTTCTTGTGTTCTGGCACCATAGGTTTCTTTCTCAGAAAGTTATCCAGGCTGGGACCATGTCTCCCTAAGGGATCATCTGGAGGCATAAACCTAAAGAGAAAAAAAAGTCTTAGTTAGGAGCATTTCACCTTCCAGCATCACAGTGCCTTTTCTTCTAGAAGTCTCCCACTTCACTGAAAAGTAAAAGCTAACTGATCCTTAAAAAGCCTTCCTGCCTCACCAAAGAGAGCTCTCAGTGATGACCAGTGACTACCTGGTAAGGACTAGCACAAAGTGCTTCTCCCGAGGCACTGAAGAAGGTCTGCATTTTTTTGCCAGAAGGTAAAACTTGCTGGTGCACAGCCTGTTAATGTTCACCCTGGGAGGAAGCCAAGCCCTGGAGCCTTTCTGGGAGCTCCAGGAAAGTCCAGCTCCCAGCTCCAAACCATCAAGAGCAATTAAGATGACTCCAATTTGTACCTCACAGCTGGGCAGTTTTTCCAATCTCTCTTCCTTCTGCAAAAGGCAGCTTTGATTGCCATATTTTTGTTTTCTCTAGACTCTACACCAGCCTTTTGCTCTCTTCACAGGTCACATGCTATTGCTTCATTATCCCAAGACAGCCCACTCATTTGGCACTTCATTTGAAGCAGAGAAAAACTGGGAACATACTTGTCATTTACAAAGGAATACATCAACAGACGCTCCTCAATGAATTTCTTCCATTCAGGACGCTCATTCTGCAGGTCCCGGTAAGTGTCATTAGAGACCACGATGCCATCAGACTCATGTGCCAGTTTCACAATGAATCGGTCGTCGTAACAGACGACCCGCTTGCCTCCGACTCGCCTGGAAGGGGTGAACACCAGAATTTTCTTCTTTTCAAGGTCACGGAGAATGTACTGGTCTAGAACAAACACAACTGTGAACACTCATACAAATGCATATAACCCAAATGTCCCCCACAATTATGATAACAATATTAAAAAGAGACAAGAAATGAAGTCATTTTATCTTTCTGCAATTCAGCCTCTATTCTCAGCTCTTATGCCATCTGCTAGGTTTGTCAGAGGAAAATTCCTTGTCCTGGTGCCTGTAGAGCACCTAGAAACATTCAGGAACCACAGAAGCTGTTGCAATACAGCAAGGGGTTTATCCACATAATTGCATGAATACAGTGTTGATTTGCATTTATGACTGGGAAGGTAGCATCTCTCTGGTGCTTTATTGCATGCAGAAATTTCTTTTGAGTGGATTCACTTAGAAAACTCAGCTGTTTGCAAGTGCAGAGCAAATTCCCCTCAATATGAATAATTCTAAGCCTCCATCAAGCTTTAACTTGCAACATGTTGGAGAAGTTCTGTGCAATCTGTAGTTTCACATATATTAAATACATAGCATTAAGATAAATCACCAAAAGGAAAAAAATCAAATGAAGAACACAAGTTAAAGCTAGGAAGCAAAGAGAAGTATTACAGTGTTTGTTCTCTGAATTATTTCAAGTGATCCAGGCAAGAACTAATGTAGGGGAGAAGTTAATGAGTTTAAATCTCCCTGGTCAGCAGAGTTCAGCGGATCTCCTACCACTCAAATCTTCCATGAGTTAATTACTAACTAGCCAGAACTTTGCAAACTCATTAAGTGACAAAGCAGCAAGTCTGAAAAGCTACTTTGGGCTCTCATATTTCCACACCTGTTATAAGTACATCTGGTCGTGGCTGTTCTTTCCGCCAAGATGGCACAAAGACTGTAATATCCTTGTGTCCTCTGTCCCAAAACCACTGTACGGCCAGAAGGATACCTCGGCAGGAGAACACTTCTTTATTTCCATGGCTGCATTGGAGAAGACAATTGTGAGGGTTTCAGCATTTAGGTAATGTGCAGACAGTTTTCTAAGCAAATGGATCCAACAATTTATAGACAACCTTCAGTGAAATATCGGAGTAGCACAATGAGTATTGTTAAATCTGTGCAAACAGCATCAAGATCTTCAGAGAGCTACTGCTGCTTTCAGCAAACCCCCAAAATACCCAAATGCTCAGCAGGGGGAAGGAGCAATCACGGCTTTCAGCTGCTGACAACCAGTCCTTTTTCCTAAGCTCTTTTCTATGGCTTGGCCTCCAGTACAGCACACCCTTGGACTCCCCTTGATCTCATTTTGCTTGCTAGCACCAGAGCTCTCCTCCCTCAGTGTGAGCTGCCTTTCCTTTAGGCAGTTTTGTTGTCAAGTTATCTGTTCATTTAGTGACTGCAAGACATTTTATGCACCTGTCCTCCCAAGGCAGCAGTATTGAGGATATCATGACGCAGAACATCAGCTACAAGCTTCCTCTTTGTGTGAAATAGCAATTAATGCTCAACATCTTGATAATACTTGGTAGTTAGAGTCAAGGGAAAGAAAGGGCAGTCAGTGTCAGAAGCTACCTACTAATGCAAAAAACAGCTTCTTAATTAAGTCACACCAATAAGTTTCCAGAAACTTCTAAATTTCTCAAAGAAAAATTACCCACCCTGCTCTATGAATTCTATTATTTACAGTGTTGCTAGCTCTTCTGTAGGCAAGAGTTCTGGGCAACTTTCAGTATGAGTGAGCTAAGGGCCTGCATTTCAGGATGAAGGGTAAAGCTAAGATCAACTATCCTCGTGACCAGAAGCAGTCTCAAAATTCAGTAAGATTTCTACAAGATTTCCCCACCTGGGTACAATTCCCTCCCCAAATCTCACCCTTCCCTCGCCCAAATGGGCACCCTTCCCTTGCCCACTCCCAATCCCATTTCGTTTGCCAAACAGATGCAAGGGCCTTTTGCACAGAATGTAACACTGCCTAATCTTAAGAGACACCTGTGTAAGCATTTGGGGAGCCAACAAAACAGGAAATACCATGAAGCACAAGCTGCAACAGCACTAGTTAGGGTAGTGCAATGAATGCTTATAAAAAAAGTCACTAAATGTCAAAAATGAAGTTTCTTAGGTAGAAAATACCTGTGGGTCTGAACATGACTCAGGTGCTTAGTTGGGACTCCAGATGTTTGCACTGAGTTCCAGTAGTAACCAGGACATATTGCAACCAGGAACCCAGCTCTGGGGCAGAGCAGGACAGGTGCTGAGGGCTGTGCAAATCCCTAGGGAAAGGCAGTGCTGCAGGTGCCAGCCCAGGGTAGCGCATGGAGCAAACAGAGCACTACGGATAGACAGCACCTGGGTGAACACCAAGGGAATATCTGACATGCCAAGGGGAGAGAGCAAGGGAGGGAAAGGAGAACATAGGTAATGGGACAAAAATAGTAAGCGGAAAGCATGATAGAGCAGATTGGTTTAGGGCAGGAAAGATGTTCTGTAATGAGCCAAGCAAATTGCCTCCGCATGAGGAGACACAGTGGGCGACACTCACCCCTAAACAACGCAGCTGAGAGAGCGAGCGCAGCAACAGAGCCCAAGCACAGAGAAGGAAGGGGAAGCCTCCTCCCGCTGTGCTGGAAAGGAAAAAAAGACCAAGGGAGGCACCTATGGCTCCCATCACACCATCTACCACTGAGCCCCCGCTCTTTTGCAAGAGTCTTTCAAGTGCAATAGTTTGTAGAACTTGATTATTTTGGCTAACAGACTTAGGTTTATGCTCTCTCCCCCACCCCGAAAGGTCAAACCTCTTACAAAATCATGAAAGGTGATAAAAAGAGTAGATACTAAAGGGAAGCAAAAAAGGCAACACTATGTATTTAGATGAAAAACTCCTATATTGTCATCCTAATAATGGATTAAAAGTATTTTCAAGACCTAAGAACACTCACTAGCATTTCTTTGCTGTTAAGATAAAGAAATTACAGGTCAAAGAGTTATTATGCCAGGTTGCACCACATGAGTTACATAAAAGCCAATTCACAAGAACTCTTAAATATAACCCAGATTTGTTTTGCATATGCAAAAGCCACTTCCTAGGTAAAGTAAGCTCTGCATTTTCTCCCACCCACCTCTAAAGAAGCCACATTCAGCAGCTTTTATTTTCTGAAGGGTTTAAAAGCCAAAACTCCATCTACAATCCAGGCTCTACTTTCAAAAGCCAGCAAGCTGTTGTCTTCTGGGACTAAAACTGACATGAAGCGATGACCCAAATGGGCTGCTCCCCAGCAGAGGCATTTCCAAGAGCTGCTAGTGCAGCTCCATCAGACAGAAACTTCACTTTCCTTCCTCCCGTCCTCCTCTGAAACTGCTAAAAAATGTAGAGAGGTACCCAAACAATTCTTCTACAAAAAATACACATCTCAATAAAACACCCAAAGGGACACTTAAGAACCCAGATTAGAGGGAGGCTGATATGACTAATCAGAAGAAGCTCAAAAAAGACTTCTTCCAGCTTCACTTTTGCTCTACATAGGCAGGCAGTAGTTACCAGTCTTTTAAAGATCAAGGGAGCAATAGAGATTTTTTTCCAGTCCCTGCTACTAACCCACAATGTACAGAAGGCAGCTAATTGGGCTGATCTGATTTGGCAGCAGCCAAGAAAAAATTCCCTTAGAAGGAAGTAGAGTGAATTTCCACTACGATTTGCATATGTTTGTCAAGAGCTGCCCAGGGAGGACGCTGTGCACCCTGCAAATGAATCAGCAGGGAACATCACACCATCAATACAGGAAGTTTCAGAACGGAATTCCCCTCCTGGCAAATTGCTTAAAAAAGCCAGGCTGCTTTTCTAGTGTCCAACCCCAACGCGCTCACTGCCTCGCCTGCCCATGGCTGCTTTTGCTGCGACCTTGCAATTGTCATGGGAAAGTGGCTGCCCGAGCCTGTGTGGCTTCCAGCCCGTGTTTTGCAATGGGAGGTTTGCTGAACAGCCACACAACTGCAGGAGGGCTGCAAGGAGGGGCTAGACTTTCCCACACACTTCCAAGTTAAAAGTTTTTTCCCCTCTGGCTCTGCTCTATTGCCAGCCCCAGCATTTCACACTAGCAGTCCATAGGAGTCCTGATACAGCTGTCCCCATCTTCGTCCCATCCTATCTCATCATGGCAAATAGAAAAGCCACTTGCAGCCCTTGCAGCCACACCTGCCAGCAAGTCTCTGTTAAAGCACTTTGTTCTGCCTGGCAAACTACAGTATCACAACAGCTGAGTGCAGCCACACCCAGGAGCTGGAAGCAGGGCCAGTAAGGATCCCAAAGCTACAGATATCAGCCCTAGAGACTGCCATGCTCCATGAATATCAGAGCTCGTCGCGCCCACCTGGAGCTTTAGGGGGGGCTGCCTGGAGAAGCTGCCCCAGGACAGGGCTCCCCCAGGGCCGCATGCGCTGCTGTAAGGGAACAAGCAGCTGCGGGGCATGGAAAGCCCCGTGACACGCGGGCCCTTCCCCATGCTGCCAAAAACACGGCGAAAAGGGAAGCGCCACAGGCTGCAGTGCAGCCAGCAGCACAGGGGACAGCTCCATGAGGCAGTACCTTCCCAAACCAACCCCGCCATTATTTATTGAGCAACTTCCTGCCTCGGAAACTTGCACAAAGCCGTGAGGTAAGAGCGCCTTACGCTGCCAGGTCCCGGGCCCACGGGCAGCCGTAATGTTCCGCTTTCCGACATGGCTGAACCTGCCAGGAAGCGCCTGCCGCCCACCTACCTCATGGCCACGTTGCTGCCATCGATGACGACGGGCCGCAGGTTGTCGCCATCACCATCGTCGGGCACGGGGCTGCGGCGGGTGGTGCCGCCGCGCGGCACGAGCGGCGCCTCAGGCGGCGGCAGCGCAGGCAGCTCGCGCTCGGCCAGGCCGCCCTTCACGAGCTCACCCAGCACGGCGTTGGTGTCGGCGCCCAGGCCCAGCTTGTGCAGCACGGCGTGCACCTCGCGGCACGAGTAGCCCAGCTTGCGGAAGAAGTCCACCTTGAGCTGCAGCTCCAGGCCCTCGGTGGGCGCCCCTGCGCCGCTCATGGCGCCGCCGCCCGCCTCAGCCCAGCCGGGGCCGCCGCACAGCGAGGAGAGGCCGCCCGCGCTCATGGCGGCGCCGCGGGGCCGCCGGGCGCTGCTGCTGCTGCCGCCGCGGCGCGGCGCGGACCTGCGGGCGACGCGGGCGAGTGAGAGGTGGCCGGCGGCGTCCGCCCCGCCGCGCCGCTCCTGCCGGGAGGGGATCCGCTCCTACCGGGCCCATGTCCCCCGTCCCGCCCCTACCGGGCCTGTGTGCGCTCCAGGCCCGTGTCCCCCGCCCACCCCGCTCCCACCGAGCCCACCCGCCCCTGCCGGGCCGCGTCCCCCGCCTGCCCCGCTCCCACCGGGCTCCCGCTCCCGCCCGGCTGCCCACTGCTCACCGGGCCGCCCCGCCGCCGCCGCGCCGCCTCCATGGGGCCGCGCCCGCCGCCGCCGCCGCTTTATAGCGCGTCCGCGAAGCGCGGCGCAGAGCGGAAGGGCCGCGCGGAGCGGCGGGGCGGGGCGGAGCGGGGCGGGCGGCGGAGCAGGCACCGCCCCAGGCCCGCACCCCGCCCCGGGCCTCGTCCCCGCCCGGCGCCGCGGCCGCCCCGCTCCGGTTCCGGCGCCCCGGCTCGAGACCGTCACCGCCGCTTCTCCCAGGCCCCGCCACCCTCTCCTGGGCCCTGCCACCCCCGCTCAGGCTCCATTATCTCCCCTTGGGCGCCACGTTCTGCCCCCCGGCCCTCGGCCCTGTCATGGGCGCCACTGCCGCCTCTCGAGCCTGTCCCCGTCCCTGCGTCCCCTCCTGGCAGCGGTGCCACCCGGCTCCCCTTCCTGCCCGGCTGCCCAGCACAGGCAGACGGGCCCTCGCCTGCCAACACCTGCTTTTATGCAAATCGTTTTGCAATAAGGGCAGATTTGCCCCAACATGAGCACTCGTTAGGGAAATTCATTCATCTCCTTCCTGGTTTCCCTACAGGACACCTTTGCTCTGGATTCCGCGATCAGCCGCCTGGTCGAGCGGAGCAGGGACCTGGGCAAGGCGCCGCTGGCAGAGCCCACAATGCACATCCCTGCACACATCCCTGCGCACATCTGCACACACTGCAGCACACATTCCACGCACATTTCACACGCATCCTGCACACATCCCCACACACATCCGCACACATCCCATACACATCCCGCACTGCGAATGCACGTTCCAAGCGCAGGGGCAGCGAGGAGGTCATGCCAGAGCACTTAGCACAGCTAACACTTGGGCTAGGCCTAAGCTGCAGCCAGCTTTGTGCGAGGCCCTGGTGCCCACACCTCGCTGCAACCCTTGCAGCCTCCTGTCCTTGGGGACCCGGAGGTGCAGAACTGGCGCGTGGAGTGAGATGCACACACATGAACCCAGCATTGGCCCAACCCGGCTCCCTGCACCACCTCAGTGCCGGCAGCGGGGTCTGCGCACACCCGCAGCCTGTCCTGCTCACAGGGCACGTGGCCGTGATTCAGCCGGCCGAGGTTAGCAAAGCGAGCTCTTGGAGGGCACCCGAAATAGCAGACAGGAAATGTGCATCAGCAGGCAGAGCCTCTCCCCCAGCCGCTTGCTCAAACCGCCACCACGGGCTGTCCACAGCTGCAGGAAAGCCGGCATTGCACAACGCACAAAAACAGTGCATCTCTTTTCATTAATCATCCCCGAAAACTTTAATGAAGGTAGTTGCAAATTTGCTTCCCCGAGGCCACGTACCAGAGCCCAAGTTAAGAGCAAGGGAACTCTCCCAGTTACAGGAATACATTTGCATTCATCTTCCTTGTGGTTACCCTGAAACAATCATTTTTTCTCGTCTCTGGCCATGTCTGAAACCGCACTGTGTACCCAAGAGTAACACACACAGAGGCTAGATTCAGATCAGAGATTATATCCTTAGTCAGTGCTTAAGTAGGTGCTTTCCCAACTCCTCTTTCCTTTGGAATCTACTCCAGTCAGCACGAATTGGGTGTTTGTGCTGTCGCTTCCAGGCTAAAGTCTTGCTCCAAAATGCATGGCCACAGATATGCTCTTTATAGGAAAGCACATTTTATAGGAAATAACCTAGAAAAAGCCTAATTTATAGAAAATAACCCAAATAAGTTCCTCAAAGCTGGATCTTTTGATTCATGCAAAGCAGTGGCAGCAGTTGCATGCCACCTTTTTCGCTTTGGCAGAAAGGAGAAGTGGGAGAGGATATATTAGCTTCTCCACCTGGGAAGTCAAAAGGGGTCATATGCTGGCCCCATCCCAGAAATCCTGTGTTTGTCACAGCCTCTGCTGTGCTCATGTACGTGGACTTGAGCTGCACCTTTGGTCTTAGTGGCAGTATTAAGTTACGGGAGGATGGGCTTGTTTTCCTGGTGACAGATGGGTGAGGAACATGCGGGCTGGTTTTTCTTTCATTATTAGGCTTCCTCCAAGGAATTGAGCCATCTCTTCAAGATCTTTTTGACCCCATAAATCTATGTTATTGCTGAGCGCCGAAGGGCCTGCAACAGCCAAAGCCGTAGCATTGCTGGGCTCTGCCTGTTGCAGCATGGGCTGCTCCGCACGTGTGCAGGTCCAGGCAGACAGCTCGGAATGGGGAGATGGAGCTGCCTTCAGGAGAGCCAGGAGTGACCCTGATGCCAAGGCCCTGCTTAGCACCCCAAGGCTCTGTGGCTCTCCGCGTGCTTCCCTGAAAGGAAGCACCACCTAAATCATCCCAGCAGTAGCACAAGGGCCACAGTGGCTGGGAAGGGGCCCAGCCGCATCCCAGTGCCCAGGGCTCCGTAGCCCCTGTCCAGGCGAGCTGGTGACTGATCACCCGGATGGTTCCATCCTGCTAGGACCCCTCACCTTGCTGGGTGTTTAATGGAAGAACCTGGAGTTTTAGTGTCCTGGGCAGCCTCTCAGCAGGAATGCTCGGCCAGCCCCTTTCCAGACACCCTCTATGTGCTCAGCCTCAGTTTAGTTTAGAGGTGTCTGGAGCTGTGGGTTTGCTGCATGCTGAGGCACCTGGGAGCTTTTACTGCTGCAGAGCTGAAAGAACAATAGAACTGAGTTGAGCAAACACTTGATGGTATTAGCATGAGATGTTTAAATAGTCAGGAAATATTTTATCCCATCCAGAGCAAGTGAAGAGTAGAGGATTTGTGCCTATTGCTGAGTAAATACCTCCGCAAGTTGCATCCATCTGGGAAATGGATGGGCTTTGTTCTGCGAGACTGAAAGCAGAGCAGAGTTGGCTGAGATGACTGTGTGGGCTGGGGTTCCCCTGCCCTTGCTCTCTGAGAAGCCTCATCTCAAACTGGCAGAGGGTCCTAGAGAGCGAATCCAGACGGAAGACGAGGGGTGTGGGGCAAAGCGCTCACTCCTTGTCCCGGGTGCCACGGGCCGGGATGGAGCCGGTGGCTGCGGCGGGGCCTGATGGGCTGCGTGGGCCGAGCAGCCAGGTCAGCGCCATGGTCTCGCAGAGGGTGTCCGCGCAGGCAGCGCTCCAGCTCAGAGCTGTTCCTCATCGGCAGGCAGGGTGCAGGACGGGGGAAACACGGCGCCAAGCAGCGCAAGTGAGTGCAGAACCATAGGCTGCGCGGGCCTGGGCTGGCTGCTTCGCACCAAGAGCAGCACCGTGCGCAGGAGCCATGGAGCCGCCCGGCAGCTCCCAGCACCGGCAGTGAGGGAAGAGGCGCTGCAGGGAGCCGAGCCCAGAGCCACAGCACCCCCCGTGCCCGCATGGGTCAGTTGTGACCCACTTCGCGTGCCGCACGGTGCCAAGGACCAGGGGAGCACTGATGAGCTTGGGGAACACCCAGGAACATGCGGTACATCAGAATGGAGACCTCCAGTCTGCCCATTACGGAGCCTGCTGAGCTCTAGGAACCCAAAGGGGCGAATCCTTCAAGAGGAGCTTTAGGGTCTCCTGCAGCTCGGTTGGACATCATGAAACATTCTGTCTGCAACTGCACGGGGAGAGGCCAGCGTGGAGGCCAGGCCTGGGAAGCTCGTTCTTCCCCGTGCTGGAAGGAGCAGAAGGCTGGCGCTGGGCTCTGCTGTGCAGGGGGGATGCAGGCGGCTGCCCCAAAGCCCCCCCGCTGCACAGACGTGTCCCTGGAGCGCACAAGGCCCCAGACTTTCCACTTTTGCACAATAGTGCACAGCAAAGATCTGCTGTCAGACCACTTCAGCCTAAACCTTCGCAACCCTTTCACATCCTCCCACTCCTCTGATTCACGTCTGACAGCAAGTAGAGACGTGAGAGAAATGGTTGCATTTTCAGTTTTGCTCCTTGGGACAAGTCACCAGTTTTCCAATAAATTCGTTTGTTTTTTCCATCTCCCACCTAGAGGACAGAACAAAGTTTCACAATTTTGTCCTAACTTTCTGGCTGTTCCCAGCTTTGTGGAATGAGGGTTTGGGACAAGACGGTGCGATACAGGGAACAGAACTCCCTGCCTCTGCCCCCTGTGCCCCCGGGGCACATGGAGCCGAGGTGAGATCCCTGCCTGGCAGGTCCCAGCTCCCTACGAAGCTCCCTGCGGAGCAGCCGGAGCTGCATCCATGCTCGCATCCTCCCACCTAGAGGCTCCGCTGGCTGCTGCAACCCAGGCAACTCTTCTGGCAGCAGCGAGCACTGACTCACACCTTGCGATGGAAAATGATGTAACTGGGGTGATGGCAGCCAAGCAGCCCCCGCCCCTGCTCCCTGAGCCTCGACACTCCAGTGACAGCGCTTCCCATCACCCTCCAGCCCCTCGACACAAAATCACGTGTCTCCTCTTCGTAGCTCTCCTGAAGCAGCCTCTTCTGTGGAGCTGCCGGCCCAGATGGCCCAGGACCCCTGGGGACAAGCAGCATCCAGCTGCCACTGGCACCGTGGTGGCCCCCAGCCGTTCCACAAGCCACTGCCTGGGCACAGAGGCAGCGGGGCTGGTGGCCCTGGCAGGGTGGCCATGGCCACCGGCGGGCGCTGGGGGTCTCTGCTGCTCCACGGAGTGGCCCCGCAGTAGCGCCGGCCCCGCCGCTGCACTGAAACATCCTTGCACCGAAACCTCCTTGCACGGAAACTTCCTTGCACCAAATCTCTCCCTGC